GCTATGGGATACCAGTTAGCGATTAATAAATATTCAAAACTCGAAACTCCTGTTGTTGTAATGTATTGAACTGAAACAGAGATGCATTTTTTTCTTCGATTCGGCGTAGCCACCATTTGTATGCTAGCAGATGCAGACTTGTGCTTATGTTTTTATGCATTTTGTTATGTGGCTCTTTATTTTTCAACAGGAAGTAATTGCCTTGCGGACACAAATCTATCATTGTTAGCCTTCTCAGCAAATAAAGCTTCATATTTTTGCGTATTACCTTTTTTCATCCATTGTAATGTTTGTATTGTTGATGCGTCCTTGTTTCTTTCTTGGAGCTCATCTTTGATGGGAGAAATTAATTTCGGGAGCTATCTCTCGTCAATTGAGAGATACTGTTACAGTAGCATTTCGAATTTAGACAAGTTTGGTAGCATTTCGAATTTAGATAAGTTTGGTAGTAACGCTTTCATCACGTCGTTCATAGGGAACATTTCAAGAAAGTATAAACCTAGTATGTGCTCTTGCAAATGTGTATTTAGTCACCGTGTTAAGTGATGTCTCTGGTGCAAGTGTAAACTTGGAAGAGTGTTCAAACACGAGATGTTGTGACGGTATGTCAAACCAATTTACAGAGTGAAACCCTAATGTTGGTAAAGCTTCTCGTGTAAATATGGCAAAAGGAGAAGAAAGGGAGTTGGGTAAGAAAAAGCAAGCTCCTTCGGTAAATGGTCTCTTCGGCCTGCTCTCTGGTTAATCTTATTGGGTAGGGAGGAGAGAGAGAGAGAGGAGAGAGAAAGGGAGGGAGAGAGAGAGACTTGACTGTAGAGCCATGTGATAGATTCGGTGACATTGGATGGCGTCCACAACTTTTTGCTTCTTTCACGCGCTCTCTCTCTCTCCTCTCTTTCCATTGAACATCAGAATCTCAGATAGCCCCCCCTGCCTGGCCACACTAATTAATCTCAATTACTAAAAACAAGGATAGATTGTGGATTGACCTTCTGAATTATTATTTTAGTTGAAATTGATCTTCTAAATTATTTTTTTAGGAAATTAATCTCTTGAATTATTTAAAATCAGTCAATTAACCTCTTGCCGTTAGACTGCAGAATCAATTTCGTCAAATTTAAGGGCAAATTAGTCATTTTATAATCAATTGTTACTTGTCAGCTATAATTGTCAATAAAATTTTGACACATGAACACAGAAAAATTCAAAAACATAAAAAAACCAAATGTTTACATAACAGACCATCTCACATTGTCATTACACATTATTTTGTTTTCAAATGTTATAAGTTCATTGATGGTTATAGTTGACAAGTAAAAATTGATGAAGGAAACACTAATTTTCCTTTGAATTTGACAAAATAGTGGATGGAATCTACGGACAAGGGATTAGTTAACTGATTTCAAATAATTCAGGGGGTTAATTTACCAAAAAAATAGTTCAAGAGGTCAATTTCAACTGGAGTAATAGTTCAATGGGTCAAATGACTGTTTATCCTAAAAAAAACAAAACAAAATTTCTAAATATAATATAATAATATGATAATCTAACAAGAGAGATAGAGAGACTACATATATAATAAAGAGTTGCGATTGTCTCTGAATCTTTGTGTTTAGAACATCTGGATTAAAAAATGGACCGTTTAAAGACTTCGTTTTATGTGAAGTAGACTAATGGGATGAGCTATGAAAAGGAGGAGGATTGTCTGCCCTCCAAGTTTCGGTGCCCTTCCATGCCCTCCTGTTTTGTGTGGTCACGGTTAAGCCACGTTAATATTTTATATTATTTTTTATAAAAATAATAAAACAAAAATGAATAATAATATAAAATATTAACGTGGTTTAACCGTAACCATACAATCAGGAGGGCATGGGAGGGCACGGGAACTTGGAGGGCAGACAATCCTCCTCCCTATGAAAAATGCAAGGTTTAGATTGAGCCGTCCAAATTTCCGAATCTGCATGTCCTGAACACAGAAATCTGCAGAGGTTCTTTACCTCATAATACATAGTAGAGATGATAGGGTCATATAGATTGAAAACAACATAACACAGACACCAACAACCCCACCACATACTGAAGACTGACCTAAAGTTTTAAAAGAACAAAACGAAGCCAGAACACAAAACAAAAGAATAAAAACAATAAGGTCAAAGTTTGATTTTGGTATGTATAATTTGGAGGAAGTTTCACGGCGTTTGTGGTTTAAATTGTCGGAATCTATGTTCTTAATCGGCACATTATTTTACTGTGTGGTCCTCACTTAGCAAAATGACAGACCATAGAAGAGAGATTTGGAGTGGTGTATGCTTACAAAGTAGGTTTCTTTGATCCTGTTTTATTTCATAGTTTTATTTGATGCTTAGGTGAATTTCTATGTGTAGGTTGTTTCGCTAGATTTTTTGACGTCAACAAGGAGTTCTGAGTGTTTTCTTGAGATCGGGATATGACAATTTTAGTGAAGTTGACAAATTGTTATAGTTTATAGATCACTTGTCTTTGTCAAAATTTTATTACCAAAATTACTTAGATTAACACGCGCGTGAGATGTAATGGTAGCTTAGTCTTTTTAGAAGTTTACAAATTTCACTCACATACCTCTCAATTCATATTTCTTACGAAAATTGACTAACTCAATTCATTATCCTTGAATTACACGATTTATAAACAATAAAAATTTAAGTCGCTACTACAGTGACTAAAGTGAAACTTAATAGAACAAAATCATACTTTGTCAAAAAAAAAAAAAAAAAAAAAAGAAGAAGAAGAAGAAGAAGAAGTTGGTGAACGACTGAGATCATGAGATGAGAGTTGAGATCCCTGTTGGATTTCTGTGTCCTGAGTCGACGGATTTAATAATTTGGATCGTTCAAGAGAAATCTAAACCGTTCAAGAGCTTAGTTTCTATGACGTGATCCAAGTGGCACAGTGAAATATGCTAATGTAGGCCGCATAATTCAAGTTGAGTGGTTCGATTTTTAAAATCCGACTGCTCTTAACATAGAAATCTGAAAATAACCTCATTTCATGAGATGAGTGAGTGAATGTGGGGCAAATCAAAGTTTTGGCAGATACTTTTATTGGATGATGATGGCCACACGTTTGAGGGTATTGATTGAAGATCATCATTTTTATTCCCCTCCTTTTTATTTTTTTATCACTATTCTTTTGGTGATTTCGTCACTCTCTGACCTTATGATTTTACTGTTTCACCCCCAATCAACCCTGCCCATCATGATATTATCCATCGAAGTAAGCGTTGGTTGTATCATGATGTAAAAGCAGTAAAATGCCCTCAGTTAAAGTTGCAATGCTTCAGGCTTTCAGTATGTGGCTTGGCCCCATTGATTTTAAAGTTTGTACCCAAATTATTTACTGCACCTGCAATGCAATCCACAACTCAGATCCTTTGCTGCCCAAAACGTAGGATTTGGATCCTCTCCGGGGCAACTGGTCGGGATCCTTCTGATTAGTGTTCGTGGATCGTTGAATTTTTATCCAACAGCTACAATTATTATAACTTTTAGAAGGCCTCCCTATTTGTAGCCGTTGGATAAAAATCCAACGGTTCACGAATATTGGTCAGGAGGATCCCGACCAGTTGCCTCGGAGAGAATCCAAATCCCAAAACATAAATCAAGTGAGTGACGTGGAAAGGTTAAAAAAAAAGAAGGGATGAAAGTGAATACTGTGGAATCCAAGTATGTTAAAGTTACGGATTCGGATCAGGTCACATTGGGGTAAAACAATTTAGGTTTTGACCCGTTTCACTTGCCAACAATAATCCATAGTAGTATTCTTCTTCACTTGTAAGTGAGATGTCCTAAGTTTGATTCTCGCGAAAGACGAATTTAAACCACTTTATTATGGTTAGCTCAGTGTGAAGCTTAGCCCACTTCTTCACACTCCCTTAATGTAGATATTATCGTTTGTTCAAAAAAAAAAAAACATTAAAATTTCATATTCGGATCAGGTCACTTCGGGGTAAAATAGTTTGGGTTTTGGCCTGTTGGGTTCTATCTAGCAAGCCCATTTCACTAGCCAATATAGCAATTTCCGCGTCTACGTCAATATTCTATTTTAAACTAATCAAGTTGGGCGAGACGATGATCCATACTCAAGCGCATAGGAGGAAGCACACCCACTCTAGCCAGTACATCTCTACGCCAACATCTACGTCTCCCAACTCATCACTTTGTAAAGGAAAACGTAATGAAGATTAAGGTATGGGCTTCGAATTGAGTGCTCTAAACTTGGACTTTGTAGTATAGCCCAAAAGCTTTGGACTCCCAAGTAAAACGTTAAACGGGTTACCAGCTTCATTTGTGTACCCTGTTTAGAATGTATTTAGATTAGAAAATCATGCTTAAACTTTCTTGTTGCACGAGATATATGAGGATTGTTCTTGAGTAATTTAGTTATATTATTCCTGGAAATTTCAGAAACTCAAAATTTGTGGATGCAGTCTCATCAGTTTCCAGTTTCTACTTGGGGTTTTTTTTTGTTGGTAGGATTAGGATGAGTCTTTGTATGGTGAAAATGACACGAAAATATGTTCAATAAAATTTGAAAATTGATCAAATATTGTGAATTAACATAAGTTCACGGCTTTGAAAATAGGTTTTATATTAATTTAGTAAAAAATTAAAATTGATAAAATATCATGAGTTAATATAAGTTCACGACAATGTTAAAAATCTCGCTTATAATTCATCACATAGAGGTGAATGAAGGAAAATGTTATATGTTATATCAAACCTATAGGCTTGCTATAATCTTGGCCGTCCGTTTACAAACATTAAAACTAAGAAACGAAGCTTTCAAAATGGATCAAACAACTTTTTCTTCATGAACATGGCTGCAAAGCTAATATAAAAGTATCAATCCACACAAAACTGACGACAAAATTCATCACCAAAACAATCTCCTATTTCTTGTAATATATTATATGACACTACCAACTTTAGACTTCATTTCTCAGCCTCATCCTTTCTGAATCTTCAAAAATCTGCAGAAAAGTCATCGTACAGTTCTAGTTTCGGCAGATCCCTATTTCCACCGTTTGCTGCCCTGTCACCGTTGGCTCCGCCGTTTCCATCCAACTTCCCACCATTCTTGCCGTTGGAGTTCCCACTACCGTTCTTGGCGTTGGATTTGTTGTGTGATGTTTCGTCACTGTTGGACTTCCCAGAATTGCCCTTCCCGTCGCCATTGGCTTCGTCGTTTCCCTTTGACTTCCCACCGTTCTTGCCGTTGCCATTAGCTTCGCCGTTTCCCTCATTCGACGGTGCTGGAGGACGGGGATAAGGAGAGGACACCCCTTTGGGAGGGAGTGTTTCACAAGATGTTGTACCATCTCTATGAGGTATTTAATCTTAAGTGAGTTTTTTTTTTTTCTTTCTAGATTCCACAAGCAGATATTCAAGGCGGTCATCCACCTTGAAAGAGCATGTATCACCTTTCAGAATGCCCTTCAGAGCTTCATTCACCTCACAAGTAGATATGGTCAATACTTTTGGCCATATCACAAGCTTCATTCACCCTGGAAGAGTTTCATTCATCTCACAAGCTCTTTCAAGGTGGGGTAATGAAGCTTAGAAGGGCATTCTGAAGGGTGATATCTGCTCTTTCAAGGTGGATGACCGCCTTGAATATCTTCTTCTGGAATCTAGAAAAAAACTCACTTAAGATTAAATACCTCATAGAGGTGGTAGAGCATCTTGTAAAACATTCACTCCCAAAGGGGTATCATTCTCCTCCCCGTCCTCTAGCACCGTCGATGGAGGGAAACGGCGGAGCCAATGGCGACGGCAAGAACGATGGGAAGTCGGAGGGAAATGATGGAGCCAATGGCGACAAGAAGCAACTCTGGGAAGTCCAACGACGACGGAGCATCACACAACAAGTCCAACGGCAAGAACGGTATTGGGAACTCTAACTACAAAAACGGTGGGAAGTCGGATGGAAACGGCGAAGCCAACGGTGACGGAGCAGCAAACGGTGGGAATAGGGATCTGTCAGAATTGAAACTGTAAGATGACTTTTCTGCAGGTTTTTGAAGATTCAAAAGGGAGAGGACTCAGAAAGGAAGCTTAAAGTTGGTAGTTTCATATAATAAATTATAAGAAATAGTTGGAGCGAGATCGTTTTGGTGATGAATTTTGTCGTTAGGTTTTCCGTGGATTGATACTTTTATATCACCTTTGCAGCCATGTTTATGAAGAAAAGGTTGTTTGATCCATTTTGATAGCTTCGTTTCTTAGTTTCAATGTTTGGAATACGAAAAGCATTTAAAGTTGGAATTCATTGCAAACTTGAATTGAAGGAGATTGAATTGAAAGAGATATTAGAGAGGGCAAAAATGAAGGTGTGTGAATTATAGCCCAATATCCACCCTATTTATGGACATTTGAAGCTGAAGATAATAAGTGCCACGCAAATAAGAATCTTATCTAAAATTTGCACAACCAATTACATCTCAACATGTGGCACTCGAAATCCTATCCGAAAAATTATTAAGATTACATATCGACAAGAAATTTGGGGAATTACTCGCATATCGACACGTGACACTCGAAATCCTATCCGAAAAATTATTGAGATTACATATCGACAAGAAATCTGGAGAGTTACTCAAATAGCAACACGTGGCACTCAAAATCATATCCGAAAAATTATTGAGAATACATATCGACAAGAAATATGGAGAGTTCATCACTTTAGCAACACATGTCACTCGAAATCCTATCCGAAAAATTATTAGGATTACATCTCGAAAAATTATTTGAGGTAGTTTAATTTAAGTAACCATATTAATTCAACTAAAATAATAAATTATGTTTTGAGTTTCCGAAATTTCCAGGAATAATATAACTAAATTTTTCAAGAACAATCCTCATATATCTTGCGCAACAAGAAATTTTAAGCATGATTTTCTAATCTAAATACATTCTAAACAGGGTACACAAATAAAGCTGGTAACCCGTTTTAACGTTTTCCTTGGAGAACATGTTTTGTATGGATATCGAGGAAATTCAACTTTGGAAAAACACAATGGAGGGGAAGCTCTAGCATTGCAAGTTTGCAAACCAGCAGCGAGCCTCCGAAACGAACAACTTCTCTCATACAGTTATACTCATGTTCATCTGCAAACCACCTCCGAAGCGCTCTCTAATTGCTGCGCATCACAGACACTGAAATCTTCTCAGTCGAACATTTTGGCACAGGCTCGGTTCATTTCCGAGTGCTTGTGTGTGTGACAAGATGATAGAGATGGTGTTCTGCTCGGTATATGGTTGGTTCAGTAGTAACATATCATCTAAACGGGTTTTATTCTGGTTGCAAGCTAGATGAGGTTTTAATACCGAGTAAATAAACAATACTTAAGCGTTTAAACGTTCATAGAAAATGATGAAAAAAACTATCACAACAACATGTAGAGAACCGATTCACTACCCTCACGGTATCAAAACTGTTTTTCCATTGCTCGAGTAGTAATTCAATCAGCAACATTACAATTATGATTATCCAAATATCAAAACAAGTTCGAAAACTTACGCAAACTATGCTTGCTTCGAAGAACCTTGAATAGTCTCCAAAAGATGCTGAATTCTGTACTTCATAACAGGCTGACCTTTATGCGTTTTCTTAAGCATCTTCTCCCTAGAAGACTTCCTTCGTGCTTCCGCCTTTTCTCGTTCTTCCTTCTTTGCCTGAATAATCGCCTCCCTCTCCATTCTCTCCTTCTGTTCATCTTCATGTTTCATCTCATACATTTTCATTATACTACGAGCACCGTACTTCTTTTTCTTCTTGTCATTCTTACTCATCTTACTACCACCTCCAGTTTCGTTCTCCTTTTCACTACTATCTCCAGCTCCACTCTCCATTTTACTACCACATTCAGTCTCATTCTCCTTCTTACTAACATATCCCGTTTTGCTCTCCCTTTTACCATCTTCGGTTTCCATCTCCTCCTGTACACCGAAACAATACACAACTTGAGACTTCAATCTCCAAATAATGTTTTCACAACAAGAGTGTAATTGGGTTTTCATAACACACAATCCCTGTCCCTAATTTCAAATAAAATCCAACAAAACATAAGCCAAAGAAATCAAACCTCGAAGCGGCTTATCGCCAACGGAGGATTGCTCTGCTGTTGTTTCAGTGACTTCTTATACTTGTTCACATACTTGGAGTTCTTGTAGAGCTCCTTCTGCTTCTCTGATACAATAAACAGAACCAACCCAATTCATTAAAATCACAATAAATCATACCCACCAAGCAAAAAGTAAATAAAAATTGAAAGAAGATGATATAAACAGGAAAAATATTGATACAGAAACAAATAAAAATTGAAAAAAAATAAAGACAAATCGAAATGAAATCAAAGGAGAGGGCTTTTCCATACTAATCAAAGCTGGGTTGAAGTAGCTGCTGTTCGATTTGGCACTCGCGAAGGCCTCGAGCGAAAGGCCTTGACCGCCCATCCTCCTCATGTTCTTCTTCTTCTTCTTCATGCTACTCGATCTCGAGCCGCTGAATTTCTCTCTGTTTCCTTCGTGTTTTGGGTGTTGATTCTTCATTGTTGAGCGGAATTAGGGAAGTATTGAGAAATGGGTAAAGGAATTGGGGAGGAAAGAGGACGAATTGGAAACCCTAATTTGCAGATTAGGGGTAAGTAAAGCGTGCTCTAGTGCAAGTGCAAGGGAGAGACTTGCAGAGGATTTGCCCAGGAACACAAATTTAGGCACAAATTTATTTGCAAGCCGCTGGATTTGCATCGACGGCTATGATTTGTTGGTCCGGAAGAAAGGGATATGCAGAGAATCTCCAACAATATTAGTTAAATTTCGATTAGGGAATTGTTATTGGCACTCCTAAAATCTCATTTTGAATTCAGAATTTTCTATAATTAGAAAAAAAAGAGTGTAGAATAAGATATTTATGAGTGCTAATAATAGTTCATTTTTATTATTGTAGCTAGCCAACTGACCCAACAATACTAGCTTTTTTTTTATAGTTTTTAATGTTTAGCAAAAATTTAACTTTCTTTTCCCTCCTAGCTAATCTTGTTAGTTACTATTTACGAAGTTAAGATAGCTAGTTTGTTGGAGCTTGGTTTTTCTCCATATTTTTTTTTGTTTAAGTCGCCAGAAAGCCTCATTAGCTAGGTTGTTGAAGATGCTCAATAGAGGATTTGATCTCATGTGTGTTTGGGTTAAAACTTGAACTTTGGACTCAAAAGGAAGTTAGCCCAAAAGAATTCCTCCAGACGAACAATGTGCATAGGGAGCACATCCGCTCAACCCCTTGGGTACATCCACGGATTCTTTAGCATGTTGCTATGCTCGCATTTGCCCTTTTAAACCCTTTATAATGTTGGGCAAAAAATAGATTGAAGTTTTAATAGAGTTAGCCAAAAATATCATTGCTCTACATTTATAACTTCATGAACAAATATTCACAAATTTTTAGTTTAGAGACCAAATCTCCAATTGTACCAAAGTTCCTCTACTCCAATACTCTCAACAATATAAAGAATGATTTGGATGCATGGTCTCTCCCAGCGGAACTTTCAAATTTGAAAAGTATTGTTAATTAGATTATGAAAGATGTTAACATTTTATCATCATTTTTTTTGTTGGAGCAATATGTTTCGTAAGGGTACGTGTCTGCCTACTTAGTAGATTAAGTTGACAGCATTTGTTAACTAGATTAGGTTTATCGCTACATTTGTGATCAGATTAGGTTTTCTCCATTCTATTTGCTGTATGCAATTACTTTGGTACGAAAGGGCCACATGGTAGAACAAACCAATAATAGTATTGGCAAAGAAAAAGAGAGAGAAGATAGAAACATTAATGGGGAACTGGCTAGCTAGAACTAGAAGAACAGCAGCTGTTCCAATTTACAATATCCATAGTGGCCTTAAGGATATCAAAACCCTAATGGCAGTTCTAAATGTATTCATGTGGATCATTAGGTATTTCATCCACTCTAAGTCATCACACAACTGATTCATTTTGTTCTGTAGTTGCATCTTCAGACTTGCTTGTCATGCTCTCCAACCGAGCATCTTCGACCTTGCTTGTCATGCTTTCCGACCGAGCATCTTCAACCTTGCTTGTCATGCTCTCCGAGCAAACATCTTCAACCTTGCTGTCATTTGTGTCTTCTTCTTTCAACTGATTGTCATTTTCTGCAACCCCATTTTCATTTGGTATCTCTTTGAGAATATATTGGGGTAAGACGGCTTTCTTTGATTTCTTGAACACTAGGTACATGATCATCTGCGCAATCCCGAACCCGAACCCTAGGATGTTTGGTGCCTAAACATGGAAGAAAAAAAGCAAAAGAGTTTTAAAACAGTGGGGCAGTATTATTATAGTGCAACATCACATATGTTACTTAGAGGTCAAGGAGCTGAGAATTCGTACCGCTACGAATAAATCTCTTAGTAGAAGGCCATAGAAGAACCACATCACAGCGCATAGAGTTAAGCAGAACGACAAAGGGAAGGACATGTATTCCACACTCCTTGTTTTAATAACTAGCCTCTGAAAATGGTAAAAGGAGATGATAAATTAGGTGAATTGATCCGTATTTATTAACATTAAAAATACTAGGCTTAGTGTGAATAAATTCTCTTACCATTATACTAAGAGGAGCAGCAAATACACATACAGAAAACACAACGTTAGTCCACCCAACTATTTTAATCCTCAGATAAGGATCTGTGATTAAGGAAGTAGCAAATAAGATCACACCATAAGCCCCCACATTGAAAAGGGTAAGTAGCTTAGCCGTATAAATCTGCAAAACCAGAACAAAATTGTATGCGAGTAAATAAAAGCTGAACGTGAAATGTTTTATAGGTACGCCAAATCGGATCGCACCTAACCCTACAAGATAGAGCGTATTATAATTATGTACCCTGATTTTTGCTGGTGCATAAATCATGTAGATTACAAGATAACTTGTTTCGATGACGCAGGCGATGGAATTGATGGTGATGAGCATGAAAGCATGTCCCTTGAGGAAGGCATAGTAGAGCATCAACATGGCGCTAAACAGTGCCACTGCATAAGGTATAGATTGGAATCCCTCTGTTGATTTTTTCTTGAAAATCCTATAAAATGTTGGCCTAAAAAAAAAGGAAAAAGAAAGTTAGATAACAATTACAGATGATACATGAAAATCCCATATGCATATATGAGAGAGAGAGAGAGAGAGAGAGAGAGAGGGATTACAGTGGAGCTAGTAACACCATGAAGGACACAATGTTACCTGTAGAAATGAAAAAAGAAAAAAGAAAATCGAGAGAACTTAGAATTGAAACCAAGTCGAAGACGAAATAGAAAAAAAATTCAGATTTACTGGGGAAGTTTGGGAAGGGGAGATAGAAAAATTAGAAACTAATAAGCTAGGGGCTAGGGTTAGTAGCCAGGGCTACCTAGAATGCCAAAAACTGAGGCCAAGAGAGGAGCATCAGGGGCTGCCATTCTTGGCTTGATGAAGCTCTTTAATGACTGAGAGAGTTTTGAGGCCGAGGGCTCTCCAAAAACTCAAACACTCAGAGCTTGCTATAACTCTTGCATAGCATGCGTTTATATACAAGAGAGTAGAAGGGAAAAGGAAAAGGAAAAGAAGAAGAAAAAAGAAACCGATTTGATGAGTTAAGTTAGCTAACTGTTGGAATTTGGGAGCTAGCTGTGAACACACTGTATTTGTGTGGTTTGATTGGGTGTCTTGTGGTTTTGGGCAAGGAATTAGTGAGCTTGGAAAGCTCCATCGTTAATTGGGAAATTAAGCTCATAGCTGGCTAGCTAATTACTAGACGTACTAATTAATCTTCGAGAACATAAATGCTAAGGAAACTCTTTTAAAAGTGAGACTCTTCATGAAATCTTTGTTATCTCACAGTTTAACGTTAATTATCAAGCCAATATTATAAAACATTGTACAAAAAATATGAGGTGACATAAATTTAGAGTTCAATAAATTTGGAGTTTAATATTTTGTTATTGGCCTCAGTTTCGTGGAGCTTGAGCCATGAGGTTTCGTGAAGCAAACAGTAGAGCGTTTTGCAACAACAAAACCAAAAGGGTTTACATTGGATACCTGATAGGCCACTAGCAGTTACGTTTCAAGGCCTTTATGCAAAATGTATTGTTATATGTATTCATTGTATTGTATATATGCCGTGTGTTGTAGATCACTACATAACTTTTGCTTGCCAATTGTCAATTGGAGTACGCTTAGCTTTTGTATTCTTACATGAACAAGAGGTCGTTTTGTCAACTCAATATACTAGCGTATGATACCAAATTAAAGCAGTTTATTATGTTTATGCTCCTGTCACATCCTGGCCTGGCCCCCACCACATCCCGAGTTCGACTCCACCATAACACGATATTGTCCGTTTTGGGCCTTGACTACGCCATCACGGTTTTTTTTTCTGGGAACTCACAAGAGAACTTCGCAGTGGGTCACCCATCATAGGATTGCTCTCGCGAACTCGCTTAACTTCGGAGTTCCTATAGAACCCGAAGCCAGTGAGCTCCCAAAAAGCCTCATGCTAGGTAGAGATGAGAATATACATATAAGGCTTACATGATCCACTCCCCTGGGCGATGTGGGATGTTACAATCCACCCCCCTTAGGGGCCCAACGTTCTCGTTGGCACAATTCCGGTCATGGATTGGCTCTGATACCAAATTGTCACATCCCAGCCTAGGTCCCCACCACATCCCTGGCTCGACTCCATTGTAGCACGATATTGTCAGCTTTGGGCCTCAACCACGCCCTCACGGTTTTGTTTCTGGGAACTCACACGAGAACTTCCCAGTAGGTTGCCCATCATAGGATTGCTCTCGCTCGAACTCGCTTAACTTCAGAGTTCCTACGAAACCCGAAGCCCAAAAAGCCTCATGCTGGGTAGAGAGGAGAATATACATATAAGGCTTATAAGATCCACTCCCCTAGGCGATGTGGGATGTTACAGCTCCAATTCACTGACATAATAAGTATCCATTTTACACGTCTTGATTGTAGTTTTGGTGTGACAGCCACATTGCTACGTGATGTTATAAGTTATTAATACTATATCATAGTTTTTTTTTTTCCTTTTTTGAGTACAATACTATATCATAGTTGCAAAATGAGAGAAGCTGACTTACGCTGGAGATACTACTGTCAAGATTTCCTCCATTGTCACATAATAACACCATGGTAACATCCTTGTGCCATGGAAGCTTCTTTTATTAATCTTGCTATAGTGAAATAAGTATTTGTCTTTAATAAAATATCAATCATGTCATCTATTCATGTAAAAACAAGCTATTGAATAATAGTAACGTATCGGTTGCGAACTATCACACTATTAATCTATCATAAAATGAAATCCAAAACTTTGATATTATTGTCGTGTGTGCTACTTTTTTTTAACGCATCATGTGAGAAGTTGGCAACTTATTTAACCCAATAATGTGAGTCTTGCCATATGCCAGTTAAGATTTTATCTGCAAAAGCTATATCTTTAATCTTTAATCGTGCTTATAATGGAATGGCAACTTTAATTAGGTAATTAAATTTCCACATTGAAAAGAGAGAATTTGCGGCTTGATTTAATATTGACCCTTCAAATGTTGAAAAACCAGCACAATTTCTTGAATTGTGTTATGCGCAGCGTAGTGCATGCCAGATACGACTTTGCAACGTCTGCTAATTACTCTGTTTATTTGTTTTTATTTTCACATAAACCTTTTTTAGCAGCCATGCAATGCATGTCCACTTAACTTGTTAGGTTTCTTTCTTGTTCAGATAAGGGCTTACTTTATATTTCATTCATAATTCTTATACTGCTATATATGTTAAGACAACGTTTAAAATTATTTCAATTTTAGTTTTTGGTTTTACAGAATCTTCGGAAAAATAAAGAAAAAAGACGATGTGAGAGATAATATTTGAACAAAGAAAAGCACACAAAATAAGAACCAAAACCTATTTTCAGTTGTGTTTTCGCTATCAAGATTTATTTTCATTCTTCATCCCTTGTTTTCTCTATATTTTTGTCTTCAAAACGAAGTAAATATCAAACGAGCCCAATGATAAGTTTTCATAATCATATATAACCATATAAATATATGCATGTATGTGGGTATTTAACTTATACCAATACACTTCTCTTACACTTTTCCTTTTTTGGTTGGTCTTTCTGGATTTTCTTTGTAATCTAGTGCATCCGCAGTGGCCCTGAAACAAACTATAAATACAACAGAAGGGGCCTCTTGCAGCGTAGAGGTTAGAAAGTGTACGTCTTTCTGTTTGTCATGTTTTTAATTTGTTAGAAAATGCAGTCTTTTAGAACTATCGTGTGTGTATAACTGTATATCATCTATATATTATCTTATATATATTAATATACTCTGCAAAGTCTAATTAAAACTATATAGGATTTTAACTTCGTAAATAAATTCCTATTATTTTGATATGGTTGAAACAATTACTATATAGCGAGGAAATAACCTTTTTGTTGTATAAATTTCAATTTTCTTGTGTTTTCTATCATACGGCGAGGAAATTGCTTTCACTGGCGCTTTGAAGGCTTTTAAGAACGAAAAGCTTCACCAGTGTCGGCACTGTAGACTTTTCCTGAGGGTGCTACAACGAGAATCTTGTGAGGAGCTCCATCTTCTTGGTAAAAACATTCCGCGGACGAAATGAGGACTTCAAGTGACGAAACAATTCCTCCCTAAACATCTATTTTTTGGTAGTGTACGAAGAATCAAGTTATTGTATATCTTTCTCGCCTAATCGATCTCCACTTAGAAAAAAAAAAATTACTCAAGAAAGCAATTAACTATTTTTTCTTAGAAGATAAGAAGTTTACTTGCAAGTAATATATTGGTACGAGTAAGAGACCATAAAAAGAACGAAAGGTTTCTTCTGGGTAAATTAAAACCGACAAATATGATGAAGCTGGAAAATACCTACAAGGCTTAATCTTCAATTTCTCTAAGCAATATGTGATTAATAACTATGTCATGAATCATACCAGAGTGGGAAAAGGAAACAGAAACCCCTCTTGCTCAAGGTTGTAGCTAGGATTTATATTGGGTATGCGGGCTAATTTATTTTCCTTGTAGTATAGAACGAAATTTTCCTGGTTCGAAATTTGGATCTTGATTTCTTTCGTTTCACGAGTCTCTTTTATGGAGCGAAATTTTAAGTGCTAACGGTAGGCTAGATTTTTGTTTTGTGCAACATTAGACTTAATATTCCATAATACATATTTTTTCTAACACTAAAATCATCTTTTCACATTTGGGGTCTGCTAGATTTCAGGGCAGCCACTGGCTGGCTCCGCCCTTGCTCATACTCTCTTAGTAGAATTTTTTTTATATTTTATTTTGATATGGCTGAAGAGGGGGATTCAAATATGGGACATCTTCCAATTTGATAAAAATCACTAAACCAATAATATTGCTATTCTTAGCTAGCAGTTTTCATAAATTTACAAAAACAAAATTTAAATATTGAGTTCAATGTTTTCTGTTGTTTATCCTTTGATTAATACTTCTAAGCCACTTTGGTATGTACTAGAGACGTGCATGGTTCGTCATTTGCCTCATTGCACATATATGCATTCCGCTATATATATGTATGTGTGTGTGTGTGTGTGTAGGAAGCCTCTAAGGAAATGGATCCCCAATTTTTTATAAAAATAGGGATTAATTGTGGGGTCCACACTACATCGAACTTTAACTATCTGAACAGTCTATTTTTCAAGTTGTACCTCATAGATCATCCTTGCAAAATATTAGCCAAATCGGAAATATTTAAGACATCTAATTGTGTTCAAAGAAATGAACAAATACTTTGTTATATAAGAAACAATGAAATTTGACCTTGATAATTAAATAGGCAAATGGTTTCGGATTAAATTGATTTTTGTAACGATGATCTATGAATCGAGACTTACAAAATAGATGGTTCGGATCGTTGAAATTCGATGTGGAGTGGGCCCCACACCTAATCTCCATTAAAAAAAATGGGGATCCCTTTGTATAAAGGTGTGTGTGTGGGTTAAGATTTGGGGATACATGCTTTTAAAAGGCTACTTTGTAATGTATTTTAATGATATGAAACATTTATATTTTAGCACATCATTCATAGATCGTCCTTGAAAACAAATAGACAAATTCAAAACATTAAGACATTCATTTGTAATAAAGAAAATGGTCGAATATGGTTCTGCAAAAAAACATTAAGTTTAATCCAATGGTCATATGATTTTGAATTTGGGTGATTTTTGGTAAATATGATCCTTGAGGGAAGACAAAAAAGATAGATAGTTGAATCGTTGAAATACATTATAGAATGGGTTCCACATAAACGTGTGTCACAAGCGAGTATCCTTGAATAATATATATATTCCTTTGGGTGATAATTGTCTGATAAGAAAATTTAAGCAAGGCAAAACTGCTCTTATGGAAAAAAACCCTCATTTTTCCATATAAAGCGTCTTACCAACCAATATACATGTAACTCAAAACCAGTATTGCAATACATGCATCTTTTCAAAGACATGCATGCATCATCTGTAATTCCAGAAAAGGAAAAACTATGCAGGGTAATTAATTGCTATGCTAATATGGAAAAGTACGTTATATTTCTTTATTTGATAAACCCTAATAAGGAAATTTAAGCAATTAAAGGAAAAAAACTGCTCATATGGAGAAGTATATAATTTTTCCTTCAAAAAAAGTTTTAAGAAACCTAACAAATATGCAGCCTACCAACCATGGCTATTAGATATTCGTATACTATTTAAGCAGCTTTGGAGTTGCAGACAAAATATATTAAGCCTTCTACCAAGTTCTCCCTAATCAAAATCCCATGACGCAGATAATGAAAGCAGTTCGTGATGTTGTTTGCAGCTTCCTATCTACTAGCTTCTTGCTGTTCTCAGTTTGGGGTGACTCTAGTACTACTACTACTACTACTGAAGCCAAACCCTATGGCTTGACCATGGGACTCATACACATTCATTCACCAGCATCACCTCTCTATCCTGGCAATATTTCTTATACGGAAAAAATTCGGAGACTCGTAAACCAATCCGCTGCCCGAGCTCAACACCTCGATTTTACCATTTCATCGGCCCTCAACACATATATTAATACAAATCAAACGATGACCAACGATTTGATCCGTCCGAAGCTCCAATTTCAGCTTATTGCAACTTACACTATACAAGTTGGCCTTGGCACTTTCGATGAGGCTTTTCCTGCGGATCCATTCAAATCGTTCTACTTGTACATCGACACCGGGAGCAGCCTCTTATGGAATCTCTGTGAGGATTGTCAAAAGCCTCCAAACGAATGCTTTCATACCAAGGCACCCCCTTACCCTAACAGCCAGTCCAAATCTTATAAGCCTCTCCCTTGCGGTCGGCATCCCCTTTGCAAACCAGGCCAATGCGTCGGGGATTTCTGCTCCCAAGACATTACGTACCTGAGCAGCTCCGCCATCCGTACCATTCTCGCAGGCATGATAATCTTCTCGCAATATTAATTTTTTATTACGTTCTTCTTTTTATACAAATAACATGTTGGGACCTCGGTGCAAGAGTGATTGTCTACTTTTAACGATTTAAGATACAAACCCTTTTACAGAGTAAGCTATTTAGACACACAAAGCTAACACAGTTGATGACATTCTCTAATAGAGGTCAATTTGTGTGTTTGAATGAATATTATTTTCTAATTTGAATCCTCTTTAGACCTTAGTGTCCGGAGCTTAAGGACTAGGAAATACAGGTCTTGGTTTGTGTGAAAAAGAAATCGGAGCCCTTGGTTTGTGTGAGGTGATCAGTGGAATGAGTTAATGGAGACTATCGGATTCAATTTGAGTGATCTGCATTGTCTAGTCCTTGGGCTCCGGAAAATGAGATTTGAAGAGGATCTCTGTCCATTATTTTTACATAACATATGCTTTTAGAGTATCTATTAACAAATATGCCATTTTTGTGTCTCTAAAAGAGCATTACTGATTCTTATATGTATAAATATTTTTGCATTTTCCGACCCTTGATAAGATTTTGCTTGATTGGTTGCTTGCAGGAGAAACTTTCCATTTTTTGTCAACCAGCGGGCAGACGGAGCCCATTGAAGGCATAGTGTTCGGCTGTGCATATGATGCAAAAAACACACAATATGATTGGGAGGTTTCGGGAGTTTTGGGTTTGGGATATACTCCCAATTCGTTTCCAGTCCAAATTTCCAATCTTATTCAAGGAGCATTTTCATTCTGCCTCTGTCGTGATTTGCACACTACAACGTATCTCCGATTTGGTGCGGACATCCCCCAACCGCCACCAGGCAGCGGCAGTGTCACACCACTAGTCCTCCTTCAAGACATACCCTATTACTACGTCAATTTGCAGGGCATAAGCGTGGATGAACAAAGGCTTCAAATCGATCCATCGGTGTTTGCTATACGCAAGCAGGGTCAAGAAGGTGGCTGTGTTATGGACAATGGCAGTACATTTACTTCTCTCATTAGGCTTGCTTATGATGCAGTGATTGCGTTCTTGGAGAGTTATTTTTCGAAGATTCATGACTTCATCAGGGCTCCCAGTCCTTCTGACCTTAAGCTCGACTTGTGCTATAAATGGTCGCCGCCGCCACCTTTGGGGTTCGAGGACCTGCCTCCTATTACCTTTCACTTTGAAAATAATGCTAACCTTGAGATCGCACACGAGGACGGATTTATTGAGTTGGACGGTGATACGCCCGGGAATGAGGTTATGTGTTTGGCGATCATGCCGAATAATGTTCGTACTATTATAGGATCGTTGCAGCAAGCGAATTACAGATTCATATATGATCTTAATGGGAGGCAACTAAAATTTACCCCTGAGGATTGTGATAAGAATTCTTGATCGAGCTATCGAGCTTGATTAAAATGCAGTCTCTTCATCTTCTGTTTACCTTTTGGTTCAATAGTAATAATAATAAGAGTTTTTTAGATTAGACCATTGTAACTCTTATTTCCCATATAAAAACCCACCTAATTATAAACATTCAAATAAAACCCAAATTTAAAAGTGATTGCCATGTAGGAAAGTAATTGACCTATTAATACAAAATATTTACAACTTGTACCACAACATTCAAAATAAATCAATAAATATTATTACTCACCTTAATTACAATGAACAAATAATTTATTGCATATTATTACCCCTAACACACACACACACACACACACACATATATATATATATACATATATACGTTCCAATGTGTATAGTACTATCACAAGCTCAATATATATATATATATATATATATATATATGTACGTATGTTTGCACAGTACTACAATATGATCAAACATATTATACTAATTAATTTACCTATATGTAAATTTATGATGAGCAAATAACATATATTTTGTATGTATCATCATATATATTGGGCACATTTTATTATTATATGTACAGAATAATAGGTAAAATAGTATTGAATAAAATAATAATATTTTTTTATGTAGGTACATTATTTTGCATGTATTTTGCATACATTGGGTTTGCTTTATTATGTAGGTAAATTATTTTGCATGTATTTTACATATAGTGGGGAAATTATTTTGCTTTTTTTAAGCAATCTAACATTTTAAAATTCGAATAGTAGGTGCACTGAATCAAATAACATTTTTCGTAGGTAAATTATTTTGCATGAATTTTTACGTATACCATGCATGTTTTTTTTTTTTGTTATATATATGTGTGTGAAATAATTTACCTACATTTATATGTAAAATATAATTTGTTGACTTAACTAAGCATGTATTATTACATATATTAGGTATGTTTTGTTGTTATTATATATTGGGCAATAAATTTATTATTTATTATTTTCGTAAAATCATTAATTCTCCCTTACAATCTATATGGAACTAATTGTGTCCATCAAACATTCAAATAGGGGTGTTTTGGGCATCGAAAATTTTTAAATGTGTAAAGTTAAATATAATTAATGAATTTGCTGATGTGGAATCTAGTTAATCGGTTTTATTTGAGTAAAAAACTTGTTTGTACCATACTTGACCAATCTCGAAACTACTGAGCACCGGTCAATGTTATACCGTCAAGGACCCAGAAGAGTTTCCCTCCAACCAGGAGGCCAATCATAACGCGACACGTGTCGACATCAGAAGCCAATCATAGCGCGACACGTGTTAACATCAGAAGCCAATCACAACACGACACATGTCAATGTCAGAATGAAACTAGAAACTCTCTTTTATAAATAAAGATCATTCTCTCACAATATTTCCGAATGTCATTTGTACTAAATCATTTACTAGTACTCACTAAAGGAGAGCTTGAACCTATGTACTTGTGTAAACTCTTCACAATTAATGAGAACTCCTCTACTCTGTGGATGTAGCCAATCTGGGTGAATCACGTGCATCTTATGTTTGCTTCCCTATCCCTATCCATTTACTTACTTATCCACACTAGTGACCGGAGCAATTTAGCGAATGTCACAAACTTAACACTTTTTGTTGTACCAAAGTCCTTACCAATTTTGTGCATCAACATTTGGCGCCGTCTGTGGGAACAACACTTATTCCCACTCTCTTCAACTTTGCCAAGCTGGTTTCCACCATTCGTACACTCTCTTTTAACCAGGCATCCCTCTCCAACATAGGGAGCGAATGAAGCCACAACACACAGAATGACACCCTTCTTGCACCTAATGCGAAGCAATAAAAGAAGGAAGGAAAAAAGGTTGCTCTTCAAGCTAAAGTCGATGAGCTAGAAGCTCAGAACAACAAGATAGTAATGAAGAATGAGGTCCTCCAGGAGCAATATAAGAAGCTCTTTGAGACGCTCTACGAAACTAGGCGTACTTAAACACGCAAGCTCGTTACCCTTGTGGACATCAACCATCATCTGGATACCCCCCAACACGGAGGGTCACCTCCATTTGACATGGGTATCCCTGATGAGGAGCGAGCTAATCATGAAAACGTTGATCAACATGAGACTTCTCTCAACCCAAATGATTAGACCTGAAACAGGAGAAGTGGAGGAAGAAGCCTCCTTGCAGAAAGGTTGGAAGGATCGAAAGTCGTTTATCGTGACTGCCGAGACTTCCTAAAGCAATGTTGAGAGAATCCCTTCCACATATGCTCGAAGATCAATGACCCAAGAGTTTCTAAAAGACTCGGTCCCCTTCCACGACCCAAGCCCGATGCCAATCTAGGGAAAGAACAACAGGTCCTAGATGAACATGAAGGTACATGGGACTCTGAGGTATTCCGACAGACTCGCTATAGAAGTCAGTATGGCGAGTCCAAGAAAAAACCACACGCCCTTGCTCAAACTTTCCTACTTCCAAGAGGCGATGAAGACTTACGAAAGAAAATTCCAGTAGTACATGGCTCCACTCAAGACCCCATTGTCCTACAGCTCATTGAAAAAGTAAACAAGTTGAAGGCCGAACGTCAGGCTGAGATACTTGACTGGAACTAACCCAGGCCTGGCCCTCTCACAAGGAGGATCATCGACACCCCCATTCAAGCGAAGACAAAACAAAAGCTTGGTTTACAACTATATACTGGAAGGGAGGACCCAATTGAACACCTTAACCTCTTTGAGTCCACCATGGCATATCGGATGCACACCGACGAGGAGCAATGTCTTCTCTTCCCCTCCACCTTATCTGGCGGAGTTCTAAACTGGTATTACCGTCTTCTACCTGAGACAGTAGACTCATTTAAGGAAATGAGGAAACTGTTTGTTTCTCAACACATCTTCCAAATCAATTGCTTGCATTCTACAAATGACTTGTACACTATTCGCCAGAAGCTGGACGAGTCACTACGAGAGTATGCCGATCGCTTCAGCTATGAGTATTCTCGCTGCGTTGAGGTAGATGACAAGACCACCCTCAAGGCCTTCACAGCAGGCTTATGTGATTGTTTCTTCAAGTACACGATCAATGCCAATACTTGGAAGACTTACTCTGAGGTGATGGAACAGGTTTACAACCACGCTTCCGCTGAAGCAATGACATACCAAATGAACCCCCATATGGTTAACCCCTATCAACAAGTGGGAAGTGGAAGTCAAGTTCTACCAAGTGAGGAGATCTTGGCCATTCAGACACCCATTGCATCATCTCCTGCCTCATTTAGCTACTCGCTAAGTCACCAAACATATATGTTTCTTGGTAAGATGAAAGATTTTTACTCTCACCAAGCCCATTACAATAAGAGGGATAAAAGTTCTTATCAAGACAACCAGGGGTGAACGTACCGTCGACTATTATGACTATAGGGCCAAGCCTCACTCTTTCAAAGTGGAGGACTAAGTATTGAAGGAAATACTATTATAAGAAGGCATACACATTACAAATGTTTTGACTCTCAACCGGTTAAGATCTTTTGTCACACAAGCTATTCGGCAAATATTTAAAGAAGAGGGAATTCAGACAACTTCTTCTGAGTCTTTTGCGTTAGCACTGGAACACTTGGTCTACGCTGATTTACCCTTATACTCCAACTCAGAGCTTCAACATGCATACTTTGACACAAAGTATGTGATACTAAGTGTTACAACCAACATGGTTCACATATCAAAAGCATGGATCCCTTCATGCATAGCAAAACATTTATAAGCATCACTCATATCAATCAACATAAACATCATACATTCCAACACATTCATACATAAACATTATACATTCCAACACATTCATACATAAACATCATACATTCCAACACATCCATACATAAGCCAACTGTGCTTCGAAATGGTTCAACATACTTTGTGTCTTCGACACTTGCTACAATGTGCCTCGACACCTTACCCTTATTCTCACTAACTAGGTGATGAAATGTGAAGAAGGCACTCATCTTCATGCTACCAACTAGGTGATGAAATGTACAACCCGTACTCTCATTCATGCTACCAACCAGGTGATGAAATGTACAACTCGTACTCTAATATCATTTGGCAACTTGCCACTTATGCCACCAACTAGGTGAAGAAGGAACTCATCTTCATGCCACCAACCAGGTGATGAAATGTACAACCCGTACTCTGATATCATTTGGCAACTTGCCACTCATGCCACCAACCAGGTGAAGAAGGAACTCATCTTCGTGCCACCAACCAGGTGATAAAATGTACAACCCGTACTCTCCTTCATGCCACCAACCAGGTGATGAAATGTACAACCCGTACTCTAATATCATTTGACAACTTCCCACTCATGCCACCAACCAGGTGAAAAAGGAACTCATCTTCGTACCACCAACCAAGTGATGAAAACAACTCACCATTCATTCCACCTACCAGAAGACGAGTGGTACAACTTGTACATGTGAATTCCTAGCATTCACAAATAATCAAAAACCCTCAAGCTTGACAACTCAACTAGGGGAGCACTTATGCCCAACAAAAGTTATAGTCACCAACAAAGTCTTATTGCAAGCCAACAGCAACTTCAGTGCATGGAATACGAAGATCAAGCTATTCAGCCCTCTTGCATCTGCTTCAGACACTTCCCCTCTGTAACAATGCAAACACTACAACTCGTAGAAAGCTTCACACACTCTTGATCAAGACAGTGTGAAGCAAAACCAATTTATGGTGCCAACAAGAGCTTCATCAATGGAGGGCAACCACAATTCTCAAAAGCTTTACACACTCTTGATCAAGACAGTGTGAAACAAAACTAATTTATGGTGCCAACAAAAGCTTCATCGAAGGAGTTCAACCACAATTCTCAAAAGCTTCACACACTCTTGATTAAGATAGTGTGAAGCAAAACCAATTTATGGTGCCAACAAGAGCTTCATCAAAGGAGTTCAACCATAATTCTCAAAAGCTTCACACACTTTTGATCAAGACAGTGTGAAGCAAA